GCTTCATAAGCTCCAGTCAAACTTATATATGATTATTGGATTATTTATATCTATACATATTCTCAGTAAATCTGTGTCTTTGAAAAGACTCTACATTAAAGTATTTTTTAAAGATGATTAATCTGTTACTCTCCCTGCCAATCTCTCCAGATACTATTTTCTCATGTGCCTCAATTCACTAACTCCCATATGTAACAGCTAACACAGAAGTGTAAGCCATATAAATTAAATGGAAACAGGGTGATCACTGCTCCTCTTCAGTTTGGGCCTCTCTGCTTACAGCTACCCATCATTCCCTGACAAGCTGATTACAGGCCTACCAATACAAACAGATGGAGATCCTCTTTAGATCTAGATTTTCTTCAGAAACAGAACTGGTGCCTATCTAAATACAATATGATTCTAAGTTCCAGTCCTCAGTAAATTTAATTGTTCTCTTTCTCTAGAGAATATTTTTATAATCTTGGGTTCGGGGTTGTGGTAGTGTTCTAAATTTAACATTAAATGTCAAACATCGTAAAGGTACTACAATTGACAGATCTGACTCTATGAAAATTTAAATCTGCGCAAAAAAAGAAACCACAAAAAAATTTAAATGACAAACTAAAAATGGCAACAACAAAGGGTCAATATCTTTCATTCAAAATGAGCTCTTAAAAACTCAAGAAAATCGGGCAAAGGCTATGAACAGGTAATTCGCAAAAGAAATACAAATAACTAACAGACATATGGAAAGATGCACGATTTCTGTAAAAGTCACAGAAATAAGGATTAAAAGAAGAGTGAGGTATGTGTCTTACCTCTTAGGTGAGGAAAATGGAAAAGGCTGATTGTTTCTAGCGCAAGTGAATAAAAATCTAGAACAACATGAACTATTGGTTACAGAGCAAGAATTGGCTATTGTTACAAGAATTTTGGAAAGCAGACAATATACCAAAAATGCAAAGTGTGTATTCTCTTTAACCCATCGATTTCATTTAGGAATGTATTCTAAGGAAAATGTTCAATATAGCATTGTTTCTATTATTCCAAAGTTGTAAATAGTGTAAATGTATTTAAATGGAGTATTGATTACATGTATCAGATGGGAAGATATCTACATTACATTAAAAAATAAATCTTACATTAAAAAATAAAAAATAGATATAATACGTTTCTATGATACACCAAATTCAAGATGCACTTTTTTCATATTTATAAAGTTAAAATGCATCTTATAATTGATAACGTCTTACATCCAATGAAATGTATGTTTATTTGTGAATTTAACAATCTGGAAGTATTTATTCCAAACTAATATTCTTGATTGCCTGTGGAGAATGGCTAACTAAAGGGCTTTTTATTTTCTACTCTGGTGTGTTTCCATTTTTTATAAAAAGCTTTATTTAAAATTTTATTCTATAAAATCAGTAATATTATTCCCATTCTAAAATGTTTTTAAATCCCTTAATAATGATAACCTGGTTTTATATGTAGTAATGAAAATTAGCTTCATAAGCTCCAGTCAAACTTATATATGATTATTGGATTATTTATATCTATACATATTCTCAGTAAATCTGTGTCTTTGAAAAGACTCTACATTAAAGTATTTTTTAAAGATGATTAATCTGTTACTCTCCCTGCCAATCTCTCCAGATACTATTTTCTCATGTGCCTCAATTCACTAACTCCCATATGTAACAGCTAACACAGAAGTGTAAGCCATATAAATTAAATGGAAACAGGGTGATCACTGCTCCTCTTCAGTTTGGGCCTCTCTGCTTACAGCTACCCATCATTCCCTGACAAGCTGATTACAGGCCTACCAATACAAACAGATGGAGATCCTCTTTAGATCTAGATTTTCTTCAGAAACAGAACTGGTGCCTATCTAAATACAATATGATTCTAAGTTCCAGTCCTCAGTAAATTTAATTGTTCTCTTTCTCTAGAGAATATTTTTATAATCTTGGGTTCGGGGTTGTGGTAGTGTTCTAAATTTAACATTAAATGTCAAACATCGTAAAGGTACTACAATTGACAGATCTGACTCTATGAAAATTTAAATCTGCGCAAAAAAAGAAACCACAAAAAAATTTAAATGACAAACTAAAAATGGCAACAACAAAGGGTCAATATCTTTCATTCAAAATGAGCTCTTAAAAACTCAAGAAAATCGGGCAAAGGCTATGAACAGGTAATTCGCAAAAGAAATACAAATAACTAACAGACATATGGAAAGATGCACGATTTCTGTAAAAGTCACAGAAATAAGGATTAAAAGAAGAGTGAGGTATGTGTCTTACCTCTTAGGTGAGGAAAATGGAAAAGGCTGATTGTTTCTAGCGCAAGTGAATAAAAATCTAGAACAACATGAACTATTGGTTACAGAGCAAGAATTGGCTATTGTTACAAGAATTTTGGAAAGCAGACAATATACCAAAAATGCAAAGTGTGTATTCTCTTTAACCCATCGATTTCATTTAGGAATGTATTCTAAGGAAAATGTTCAATATAGCATTGTTTCTATTATTCCAAAGTTGTAAATAGTGTAAATGTATTTAAATGGAGTATTGATTACATGTATCAGATGGGAAGATATCTACATTACATTAAAAAATAAATCTTACATTAAAAAATAAAAAATAGATATAATACGTTTCTATGATACACCAAATTCAAGATGCACTTTTTTCATATTTATAAAGTTAAAATGCATCTTATAATTGATAACGTCTTACATCCAATGAAATGTATGTTTATTTGTGAATTTAACAATCTGGAAGTATTTATTCCAAACTAATATTCTTGATTGCCTGTGGAGAATGGCTAACTAAAGGGCTTTTTATTTTCTACTCTGGTGTGTTTCCATTTTTTATAAAAAGCTTTATTTAAAATTTTATTCTATAAAATCAGTAATATTATTCCCATTCTAAAATGTTTTTAAATCCCTTAATAATGATAACCTGGTTTTATATGTAGTACTGGTTTGAAAGACACTGATGAAAAATTATATAGTCAAAATGCAAGCAACCCAAGACTGATCCATTTAAAATGTCTGTGTCTTCATCCAAAAACCTGTTTACAATGGTTTTCTCTGGTTTTATGCATTTCTCTATTATCTAAATTTCTTACAACAAGCATATGTTTTATCATAGAAAAGCCAAAACATTTTTGTTTTGAAAAATACACATGTAATCTTTGAGTCCACAGACCACATACCACCAGTATATTTGAAATTGCCAGTATTTTAATACATCTTAGTCAGATTTTCTTCCAGTTACAGCTTTCCATAAGATCATTACCTATTACTCTGAATTAATTTTTTCAATTTTTTTTGTTTAAGCTTCCTTTAGTAACATCTTTTCTGCATTAATATCAATTATATATCTTTCTAAGAGGCTACCTTTGTTCTGGAATTAAAATATGTATAAAAAATGAATTTCTCAAAAATAGCAAACACTTTAATCCACAGCTTCTTTGACTATGGAACAGATTATCATGAAGATTAATGGTTCTGCAGAGTTAAGAAACACTTAAAAGTGTCAAAAAGTAAAGATGGGTTACAAAAAAACTTCTGGAAAGATCTGTGACTTGCAACATGTGATGGTGTTGAAAACGGACAAATGTATTTACATGTGAGTTAAGTTTGTGTGCTTATGTTCATACCACCAGTATATGTATCCTACATATGCAGACATGAGTGTCCATGTTTTATGCTCACTGTGTGTACTTGAATTTAGGTAATCAAACGTGTTATACATATGCCTTATGCAATGCACCCACAAGGCGAGCCACTTTTGCCTGCATGTTATTTTCAGAAAACCAGCATCATCCCATCTGGGTTGATGGGTTGATGCAAAGAGTTTCACTGTCAGGCGGGCCCCACTCTGGCCAACTGCCTTGAAGATGGGCTATTTCTGGCAAAGGTGCAGAGTGAAAGGGCAAAGCAGGTCGCAGTCCAGAAAGTAAGCAGAAGAAGCTTTGAGGCACTTCAGCACCACGGACACGGGCAACCCCAAAGGCCTTTTGGAAGGAATTGCAAGCGGAGATCGCCTCCCCCACCGGTTCCCAGCCCTCTCCGCTCAGTGCGTCACTATCTCGGGGCTCTCAATCATCCCTCCGACGCAAGCTTTTTGTCAAGCTCCGCAAAAACCTGAAGGAGATATAGGTCCGGGCAATGGCCCCCTCGCCGCAACAAAAATCTCCTTCCTGCTAGCCCACGGGACCCACCCTCTATTCTGCTCAAAACAGGCCAAACAGGCGCACGTGGCGTAGAAATTCTAGAGCGCCGTGAGGCTGGTCAGGGAGGGTTAGTGTTTTCTCCCCCGGGCTGGGGAGGCTGAGTGGACTTGCCCCTGCAGCACTAGCCGCCACACTAGGCGGTAACCGGGCTCTTCCTCCACTTCTTGCTCCCGCCTTGTGTGGGGGAAAGATTTCTACAAATTGTTTATCCTCCACGAAAATCTCACCAACATACTGGCGTTCGAGAATCACAGACATGAGACAAGAGAGTAAAGAAAAATACTATGCTTGGCCATCTTTCTAAAACCAGCATTTTTTTTAAGTTTGTATTTGGAATTGATCCCAAGACGCCAGAGGGACTCAACCTTATTTGGATGGGTTCCTGGGCAAGAGAAAAACAATGACCTCTTCATTACGGAGGCTGGGTGAGGTCCCATAGGTGCGACGGTGGCAGGAAACTGCGGCGCAGGGGCCGTAGCTGATGCTGACCCTACCGACCCGGTGCCCGGGTTTTCAAGGGGAGCAGTGCAGGGAAGTGGGGACCCCGCGGCTTTCCGGGCGTCGAAGAACCTCCTGCGAAGGTTTGTGAAGGGGGCGGGGAGCTTTGTCTCCCGCGCCGGGCCCCACCCCAAAGGAGGGCTCTTTCCCTCAGGTACCACGGGGGCAAATGTGTAGGGTTCGGGGTCCGCTCCCACGCCTCCAGCCAGGGCGGCCGGGCAGTCAGCATCAGGGGCCCAGTCGGCCGCCGCCAGCGGCTCCCAGGGCCCACTCACCTGCGTGTCACCGCGAGGAAGGAGCGCCCGGTGCTCCGGCCGGGGCTGCCCGGGGCCGCGCGCCGAGTCCAGCCGCTGAGAGAACCGCGGCCGGGGCCCCCGAGGCTGCCGGGCGGGGCGGGACAGGGGCGCCGGCGGCGCGGACACTGCGCCTGCGCTCTCGCTGCTCCCCGCCCCGCAAGGCCGGTGTCCGAGTCCAGCACCTGGCGGCGGGGGGCCGGGTGTGTGCCCGGGCTGAGGGAGTGCCCTCCCCGCCTGGCGGGCGGGCCTAAGGCGCCCGGAAGCCGCCGGCCGGTGCCCTGAGAGAGCCGGGTTAAAGGACTCGTCTGGCCGGCGGGGTGACGTGGTCTTCTGGAAGAGGGCAAGGAGGCAGCCTCGGTCCATTTCCACCGTCAGTTTGCGTTTAAAAGTCTTAAGTTCATTCCTTGATACTTAGAAATATGTCTAGCGTCGGTAATCGGGGTCAGAACGGTCTCGCGGCATCCCCAGGACCACCTGGCACTTTACAGACGAGTTAGTTCTCTAAGGGAAGGAGCTGCGCGCCGCGGCTCTGGTGCCTAGACGCTGATCTGTGCGCTCCAGTTCCGTGCTGACTGAATACAGCGTCTGCTTCCAAAGCAATGGACGGGATGGGGCAAGAGGACAGGCAGGAAGGCTGTCACCATGGGCCAGGCAAGAAAGAGGGAAGTCGACACCAGGGTTGTGGCTGTTTTTTCGCCTGTCCCTCCAGATCCACCCTCCACCCTGCTCTAACACTCAGGGCCTATCTTTACGGCCTACATCAATTGTCCTCTGATTTTTACTTGGTTTTGGCCGATAGGACGCACCTGCAGGAGATCAATGGGTGAGATATGACTCAGAATCCTCCCCTACATCCCTAGAGGGCCACTCTGTTAGCAGAGGCTGTTTTATCTAAAAGTCATTACTCAGATCCTACGGCCTTTCCTAAAGTGCCTTTTTGGTCTGGTTACCATTCGCTGCCCCTGCCCCTGCCCCTTCGGGATCAGGGCAAGTAATAGCTCCCAGAGGTTTCCTTTAACCCTGCCCACACCTCTTTATACAGTCCCTTCCTTAAATTAACATCTTTTTCCTACCATTCCAGGACACTATAATGGATATTATTTCATTACGGTTAGGAAGATTCATGAGCAGAAAAAAAACAAAAGTGTAAAAGAAAGACAGGATGTTGAAAAAGTGAGATGTCTCCCGGAGTTATCTTGATAGTTTGCCAGGCTCCAGGCAGCCAGCATGCTAGGTGCTCTTCCCCACTGGGTCCCCCAGCTGATGGCACCAATGACAGTTTGAATGGGATTCAGACCACTTAGAACCAATGTGTTCACAAAGGGACTGAGGATCTGAGTGTCCAGCCTAACAGAACTTTTGGATGCCTCTTGATGTGAAGAGACAATCCAGATCTTTGTGGAGCAAGTGCTGGTGCTCTTCCAGCTGCAGCTGGGCTGCTTTCAAATGAATCAATATTCTGAGGACACTTAAAAGAGTCCTGGGCACAGTGTCTTAAAAAATGTTTATGAAGGAGCTGCTGAGTGAGGCAGTTGTCAATGAGAGTCTCCAGCTGTTTCTGTAGAAAATCTGAAGATTGTTCCCAAAGAGGGGGGAAATAAAAGTCAATAGCTTGAGTAACAGTAATTAAATTTCCCCTAGCACTCCATATCAGTTTGGTCTGAATCTGACCATTTCTCTGGCTTGTAAAAATAATCAGACTAGTTTAACTGGTTTAATTCTTTCCCCTCTCCCCTTCAAAAAGCACAGACAAAACAAAACAAGACCCTGAGGCAATATCTTGGCAAAAACTACCCAAAGGGAACCCAGGAGTAGCTGTTTGCAAACAATTAATGTCCAAGCAAACACATCATTTGTACTGAATACAAATGAGACCAGAATAAATATTTAGCATGTATTTTCAGCCTTTCGAGGGAAGGATTCTTTGTTGTTCAGAAAGCAATCTGGGCATTGATTGCACTGATCCAGGTAAGTAGATATACAGAAGCAAAAGGAGCCTCTGAAGATTAGACTGATCTACAAAGCTCAGCTAGATTTTGTGTTTCTCTTAGAAGAGAAAGAGCCAGAAAGTTTTGAGGCTGGGAATGAGAAAAATAAAGATGCAGAGTTAGCTGAGTTCCGGGGAGGTTTTTGGGAGATTTGGGAGAGTGAAACTAAGGATTTAGCACAACTGCCATTCTGAATTACACAGAGATACTGAGAAACAGGGATATGGATTTTTAGATGTTATGTGTAATAAATATTATTCTTTTGTACTATAATACTGAAGACTTTTTCTTGCAAGTATCAAAAATTAAAATTCAAACTGATTAAAAAATATAAATGTGTGGTTTAATAACTGAAAAATTTATGAACAGATAGCTTCAGGTATGGCTGAATCCAGGGTGCAAGTAGTGTCATCAGTTTATTCTCATGTAGTGATTTCTTCCCACCTCCCCACCTTTCCCCAGTGCTCAATTTATACCATCCTTATAGCTAACCATTCCAGTAGAAACAGAATGCTTACTTCCAAAGTGTAGCTCTGGGTTAAAAGGGGGTTTCAGCCCCTGGCAAGTTTACTATGGACTGGGTGAGACTGAATAATGACAATGGAACGTTGGGGGTAAAAAGGGACTCACAGCAGTCACCCAGCTATCTACAAGCAGCAAGCCCTTCTCCATCTCTGCCCCCAGCTCCAGCCTCTGCCCAGACACTGCCTTCCCTCCAGGCTCCCCAATCTCTCCTCTCATCTCTTGGCTCCGCCCACCTGCTTCCCTCTGCCTCTAGCACAAGGTGGAACTTTTCTTACATCATTACTGGCAGTAATGGCTTATTGCAATGGGTATGCAAGTAGGTGACTGTGCAGTAAGCTAAGTATCACCTCATTGCACGTATACAGTGGGCAAGACTAGGATTAGGTGAGAATCCTGGCCATGGAATTTCTATTTTTCCTACACAAGGAGTTCCAATAAAATATTGGGATTTTGTCTCATTAGCAAATTCTGGTCCATATGCCCAACCATACATGCCTTAGTCTGGGAACAAAGAACGGGAGAGTGGTCATTCTCTAAAGGAAAATCAACGTTCTGTTATCAAAAGAAATCATATAGTGACAGGCAGGTAAAAAAAGTGCATGCTCACTGTAGGTACCTTCCCAAGAAACTTCAGTTAGGATTTATGTTGCTTTTCAGTGTTTTAAATGCTAGACTAGTGTTTCTTTTGAAAATGACATCATGTTGACATGAACAGCAAAGCAGCTGAAATGTTCTTTCAACCTAAAAAATAGAGTGAAATGTCTTGCAGTTCTTATAGGAGATACCAGAAAGTATTTTTTACATGTATTTTGTTCCCAGTTTCCATATACACATAGCCTTTATTTAATTAAAGAGGCCCCTTTTATGATCCAGAAAACAATTCAGATCCCTCAAGCCCAAACTAGAGTTCCTGATTACCATTGTGGAAATACTTGTTTCCCACAGTCAGCACCACTACAACTTCACTCTTACAGTAAGACACAAAGCTCAGTCAGTACTTGTAGCACTCTGAGCTAAACCACTAAAAATTGCTTGGTATACCCACACAGGAAGATGCACAGTAACAGCCCATTTCAGGAGCAGACTTTTATCAGCCTGAAGTACTTGGTACATAAGTGAGGAATAAGTGAGGAAATAAGTGAGGAAACTTGCTGTCACAAGGTTCAAGCACTTGTCTTAGTCTTCAAATTGTGTATAAAATGAAAGGCACAAACAATAAGCAAAGCTATCTTTTTTCCTTCAATCCATCTTTCTTCATACCATTCACCACTCTATTAGCACATTAGCTCATTTCACTGCCTACTAGTCAGTGCTTTAGATTCCTTATCAGGAAAGGAGATAATAATAACCTACTTCACAGGGATGCTATGAGAATTAAACTAATTAATACATATATAGGGGTTTGGACCCTGTCAGGCACCCAGTAAGCACTAAGTTAATGTTTGCTATGATGACTATAGGGGCCAAAAAAAGAAATCCATCTAGATATGTAAAATGAATGAAAAGTCTAGATAGAGATTATGTCTAAAGATTATGTGTACAGAAAGCTGCCAATTCAGCTTCAGAGGCCATAAGGAAATATGAATCCCATATTGAAAGATCTTCTATTTTTTAAATAAGGGGTAGAAATCTTGACATTTTTGTGAAAATTTTTGATTATTAAAAAAGCAACTGCATTTATGATAAAAGAAGCACTCAACAAACTAGGAATAGAAGGAAACTATTTCAACATAATACAGTTCATATATGAAAAAGCCCACAGGTATTATTTTCAATGGTGAAAGACTGAAAGCTTTTTGGTAGAAATAAGACAAGGATGCCACTCTTACCACTTCTATTCAACATAGTACTTCAAGTTTTAGCCAGGGCAATTAGCCAAAAAAGAAACAAACAGCATCCAAACTGGAAATTAAGAAATAAAATGATCTCTGTTCACAGATGACATGAATTTATATGTAGAAAGCCCTAAATACCTTACCAAAAGAACTTAGAACTAATAAATCAATTCAGCAGAATTGGAGGATACAAAACCAATGCTCAAAAATCAGTTGCATTTCTGTACACTAACAATGAACAATCTAAAAGGGAATTAAGAAAACAATTCCATTTACAATAGTATCAAAAATAATAAAATACTTCAGAGTAAACTTGTACACTGAAAACTACAAAAATTGATGAAAGAAATTAAAGACACAAATAAATGGAATGACACCCCATATTCATAGATTGTAAGAATTAAACATTATTAAGATCTGTTACAAAATCAGTACAAAGTAATCTACAAATTCAATGCAATCCCCATCAAAATACCAATTTTTTTGCAGATAGAAAACTCCACCCTAAAATTCAAATGGAAATTTAAGGAACCCTGAATAACCAAAACAATGTTGAAAATAAAGAACAAAGCTGGAGGTTTCACACATTCTGCTTTCAAAACTTACTACAAAACTATAGTAATCAAAATAGTGTGATACTAGCATGAAGATAGGCATACAGACCAATAGAATAGAATAAAAAGCCCAGAAATAAACCCTTACGTATATGGTCAAATGATTTTTCATGGTACCAACACCATACAATAAGGAAAGGACAG